GTGAAGACCCCAACAACACAGGCGTAGGGACAAAAACATGCATATTCAAATAGAAGAACGATAAGAAGAAGCTAAAAGGAGGGAAACATGACAAGGCATTGAGACGAAGGCTTTGTTTGGTTGGAGTGATTTGAGGGAGTGGAAATGAGAGAGTGGAAAAGGAGGGATTTGAAGAGAAAGGGAGATGAATGAAAAGTGAAAGGAAAGTTTATGGGAAATTGTGAATGATTTGATTGATATGAGATATAAAAATTATAATTTTATGTTGATTATTTAAGAAAATTACCATTTTACCCTTTGTATAAAATAAGGTTCAAATGATTATAAATATAAATTTTTAATTAATTATCCATATTTTAACATTGATTATATATTTAAAAGAAAAAACAAAATTAAAAGTGTTTGTAATTGAAAACAAATTTAAAAAATTAACTTTTTTTAGATAGTTATTAAAAATTATATAAATAAACAATTACAAAATTATGTACATTGCATATCCATATTCAAATAATGTTGACATATTAAATAAATTATTTGACTAATAATTAAATAATTATAAAATATAAAATAATAATTAATATTGACTGATAATAACAAATAATTATGAAAACTAATAATATAATTGTACATTATTGTTTAAAACAAATATAAAATACAGTGAAAATAGAATAATAATTAAGAAGTGATAAAGTGTAATGTTATTGATGTTAATTTTAACAATAATACAATAATATTATTTTCAAAAATGCCCATATGAATGTGAATATTTTGATTATTATTATATAAAATAATTAAAAGAATAAGGTAAATAGAAAAGTAAAATGCATGGTTATACCACTTTCCTTTTAATCTATAATTAGTTAGGTATGAATCAAATGTAAAGTCTAATGTTATTGATGCTAATTTTAAGAAGATCACAAAATGTAAATTAAATAACTACAATATAAATTTCTACTTTGAAAATGAACAATATAATTAAACTCAAAATTGAGAATACTCTTATACATTTTTGAACTCTTTTGGATAAATTTTGTTTTCCTAATTTTTGATAAAGTTAATTTTAATATTTAAAAGTATTTAACATTTTGAATTCTGAAAGGTTTTCTCTAATAGCAAATTTAAAAACATAATATTCAAAAAAATATTTTAAGATTCAGTCTCGGGTTGCATTTCGCTCGAGCGACTATATCTCGCTCGAGCGAAAAACGATCTTGATCGATCATAATTTGAAATGATCGATCATAACTGGACGATATAATAGCGGTTCCTCCGTAACCGCTATTTAAAGTATATATTAGATAGCGGTTATGGTTTAACCGCTATTACAAGTTATATTTCGCTTGAGCGACAATAAACTCGCTCGAGCGAAGACACCTGCACATAATTTTCATCATCGGGTTGTCTTTCGCTTGAGCGAAACTGATCTCGCTCGAGCGACTAGCAAATTATGATCTCGCTCGATTTATTTTAATCGATTAAAACACGTTTTAATCGATTAAAACCACTTTGGAAGTCAGGATGATCGATCAGAATGTAATTATGACCGATTAGAGTTGGTTATGATCGATCAGAATTGAATTATGACCGATCAGACTTCTTTCACTCGATTAAAACAAATTTCAATCGATTAAAATGACTTGAAAATTTTTCTACAGAGTTTCAATCGATTAAAACGCATTTAAATCGATTAAAATGACTTAGAAAAAATTCTGTGCAGGTTTTTAATCGATTAAAACTTCTTTGTATCAGTTAAAATAACTTGAAAAGTGTTATAAGAAAGTTTTAAACTGAATCAATCGATTAAACCGCGAATCAATCGATTAAATCACTCTTAGAAAATGTTTGTTAAAAGTTTTAACTGATAAAAACTTGGTCGTATCAGCTAAAACAATTCTGTTAAAGAACAAGAACGCATTAATGGGTTGAAAGGACTTTTAACAGATTATAACGGCTATATCAACAGATTAAAACAAACTTTGAACAGATTAATTAATGCAGTTTTTTCTGAAAACTCTTTTATAAACAGAATTGCTTGGAACTTTTATCATATCAGTTTTTAAAAAAACAAAGCAATAAATTTATTGGGTGAACCAGTATAACAATTGCTTGGGTGTGACAAGTATAACAATTTATTGGGTGAACCAGTATAACAATTTATTGGGTGAACCAGTATAACAATTTATTGTTTCCCTAATTTTTGATAAAGTTAATTTTAATATTTAAATTTATTAGAGGTTAAGGTTTAACCTCTATTATAAGCTCCCTTTAAGAATGGTTCTTAAAGTGTTCCATCAACTCCCTGCTGCTTCTCAATTCCTGATTGAATCAGTGCCAGAGTCGGATTAAAGAAAGTAGAGTCGGATGTTATTGCCTTTGCCCCCACGCCAGCTTGCTCTCTAATCCCACTGCGGATTGGATTGAACTGAAAAAAGCGGAGCTTAGGTAGGCTACAGCAACTCTCAAAGCGTGAGCTCATAAGCCGTACTTCGCTCGAGCGACTATATCTCGCTCGAGCGAAATACGATCCTGATCGATCATAAGTTGAAATGATCGATCATAATTGTTGTATATGATAGCGGTTCCTCTGTAACCGCTATCTAAAGTGTATATTAGATAGCGGTTCCAGTGGAACCGCTATCATATACAACTATATTTTAATTTATTGAGGCTCGACTAGTTTTTCGCTTGAGCGAATATATCTCGCTCGAGCGAAATATGATTCTGATCGATTAGATTTATGAAATGATCGATCATAATTGGAGGATATAATAGCGGTTCCTCTGTAACCGCTATCTAAAGTGATATATAATAGCACTTAAGATATAACCGCTATTAGAAGTGATATATAATAGCGGTTATGTTTTAACCGCTATTAGAAGTGATATATAATAGCGGTTAAGTTATAACCGCTATTAGAAATGCTATTATAATAGCGGTTAAGATTTAACCGCTATCATATGGAAGAGGGTAACTTGGACTTTTCTTTATCTCCAGCAGACTTTCGTCGCTTTTCTTCGCAGATTAGCGAAGAAAGCTTCTCTCCCCTCTCATGTATTTCCTCGCCTGCATTTCTTCGCAAATCTGTTCAACCAAATGTGGGTGAATCTCGTATTTCTGTCGTCGTGAACAGTATTTCATCGCAAATCAGTTCAAACAAACACACCGGAAGAGTGGTAAAAATAGGCACTTCCCCATGATATGTAAGCTTGAACTTTATGCTATGGTTTTAGTAAGAAACCAACACGTGGTTGCAGAGACACACACAGAACCAACGTTACGGTGTCTTCCTTCAGACAATGATTTCATAACCCTACTCATTCAGAATTATTCGCCCTCCTTTCTTTCATATTATCTATGAAGCTAGCTGGTAACTTGTTTGTTTTTTTATGAACACCACGTCCATCACTTATCTGCGGATTCTTATTTTCTCAAAAATCTTAAGAACGTATTTAATTAATGAAGAGTATTATATATATATATATGTTTTAAGGTTTGCCAAAAATCTTAATTTAGAAATATCATATTTCCATATTTGAGTGCATGTTCTTAAAGAAAACTAACATGTCTAAGGGCACATAGATCAATGGGAATGAAGGTTTTAGAACATAATACAATAATGCCTGTCCTCATCTAAAACCTATTTTTTGTTGTCTCCCTATTTGTCGTTCATTCATTTTCCCTCAGCTGCCATTATCTTGCCCGGGAAAGAAAAGTCTGGAACTACTGTAAAGAAAAAAAAACATATACATATATTGATGATAAGATCTTTAATTTTTCATTTGTAAGGATTAAAAATTATACTGAGTACAAATAAAAAATATTAATGATTTTTTGTATTTTTACAACTTCTATAATATTATCCTATTAATTATTTTCTTTTGACTTAATTTTATCTATTTTATCTCACATCATTATAATTATTTCATTTGTTAACAATAATAAGATAAAATATACTCTAGAATAAAATATTTTTAGCCAATAAAAATTAAAAAATCTAATAAAATTCTGCTCCACTCAATAGTTTTAATTAGATGGGTGAATATTATTTATCAATTATTAGAGAGAGAAGGAATATTTTAAGAAAGCATAGCATTATCAATATTCATGGGGAAACTGTTTTTGAAATAGAATTTATATATCTCAGAAAATATATTGAAGAATATTTTGAACATAGTAAATGAATCTGTAATATTTAAAAACTCCAATTATTGAAATACATGATTCTCATCAGGAATAAAAAATGGTGTATAATGAAACACTTGCAACCCTCTGACATAGAAATTTGGAACTGCAACCAAGCAGTGTCAGTCTGAGTCATGAATCAGTGGGCAAACACAACTTGGCAAGGCAGAATCCATTCTCTGGTGATTTTGTAAGGTTCTCATAAATGCATGTCCCTCACTTTGTTCATATACGGCTTCAACTACATCCATTTTAACAGGAATATAAAGGTTTTTTTTGCGATAAGTGAGACTTAAAAACATAGGTTTGAGCAGTACTAAAAGAAGTTTGGTTGGCTATGCATATCTAAAATGTTTTCATCCAAATTTGAGACATTGAAAAATGGATAAAGATTCTTCAATATTTTATATTATGAGAGAGATGTTGTTGGACCAGACTACTTGGCATAAAGGTACAAGTTAAGGTATCATAAATAATAAGAACATACATACAGATATCAAGTTGGAAAGAAAAATGTTTTCTGGTGTCCTGTGGTGGAATTGAATAATCAAAATTGACAATATAGTAATGTCCCTTTCAACATAAAGACAAATGAAACACAATGAGACTATCTTATCCTTTGAATGGCTCTCCCGTTTAGAGCCAAACAAATTGATCTACACCCTCCTCGACTTATTTATGGTCGGCATCCCCACCACATGATTAACCACCAATTTTCCAGTTAAGCAGAAAAAAAGGTGTTTCATTTGTGTGGCCTTTGATGTTTGGTACAAAATAGACCATGCAAGAGGGAAGGATCGAAAAGGTTCAAACCAAATCTAGCCCACTTGCTCACTGTTTCTGAGAGTTTCGTTTACATCAAACAAATCACTAAGAGGTGCACAAACCCGAACTGTTGAGAGTGCCTTGTTGAAATGTTTTGCTTTTGTGCCAAGGTACTCGTTCCAAGTCACTGACTTGTAAAGAGGAGGCTGATTTGGACCTACTAACTTCTCATGTGGACATATCTTCACGTTTGGTGGGGGACCACATAAATAAGCCACTGAAAGCCTTTGCTGGATCCGGTTCACCAAGACCCGGTGGAGCACACTCGGGTACAACCCGTTTGACAATATGTGGAAGAGGTCCCCCACATTCACCACAAGCCCGCCAGGGACTGGCGGCACCGTCACCCACCCGGTGCCTTTCCGGTGAACTTGCAATCCGCTGATGTTGTTCTGGTAAAGGATTGTGAGAAGGGTGGAGTCGGTGTGGGCTGCTAGGCCCATGGCCCGATCCGGATCCGGACAAGTCGGGTAAGAGTTCAGTTGCAAGGCAGCACAAGTCTTTTTGAACTGATCCCATTTGAGGTCTTCCTTTGTAATACCCAGAGATTCCATCATCAGCCACATCAGCCTTTCCGCTAGCTTTTTCATCGTTTCATCATATTGCATGACAATGTCACTAAAGAAAAAGACAAAAAAAAAAAAAAAAATCAAAAACTGAGGAATGTTAGTGAAAATCACGCCATAGTTGACTATTAGCCAAGACATTTCCGACATGTCAAGAAACATATGTAAATTGTTTCAGTGTTTGTGCATTAGATTCTCGTCACTCTACTAATATTTAAGAGGGGTCCACACCCCCTCGACATTATGATATTTTCTGATTAACTGCAGTAGGATAAGAAGACGAGTGATTATAATTACCCCACTAGTAAAATCCACCAAAAGAAATAGTCTTTATAAAACAAAACTTAATGGTAAAGAAAAGCAAAGAAGAAAGACATTAATTAGGAGAAAGAGAGACGAGGTATATAGTTTGTTTGGTTAATAATTAGCTAGCACTGACAACGAAGGAAGAAAGGAACACGTGCATGAAGATATTTAGATGTGTGTGAGAGTGAGTTCTAACCAGTATTTGTTGTAATCTTGGGGCCATAGTTGGCGAAAACGCTCAAGAGGGGATCCGACAATCGTGAAGCCTTCCGACCACATGAGTTTGGGGAAGAAGGAAGAGATGCGAGCGAGGCCATAACCATCAACACCATCAGGGGAACGAGCTGCTTTGTGCTTTTGGTGAGAGGGAAGGGAGAAGAGGGTCTCCCCAACCCATTGAATGTCATCGAGAAGAGTCATGGGTGTGCCATGGTTCACCACTTGGTACACTCCCCAAGTTATGCATGCATGGCCTATCAGCTTCGAAGCATTTGGGTCGTTGAGATCAATGACAGGAACACTCTCGTTCGGGCTACAATTGGAAGGGTGATTATTAGCGTGCTCTTCGAGCTGTGTCCAAGTGTAAGATTCAGGGAGTTCTTGTAGAGAGTTCAAGTCAGGGTGCTTGTGTTGGATGTGAACGGGGTAGGCTCGATACACTTCTGAGAGTGATGGCATAGTGTAGAAGTGGAAATTACCGACCACTTTACGATTAGGGTGTGTGTGTTTCTTTGGGTATTCAATACTACGACTTCACTAGCAGTAGATGATTGAACAATAAGAAAAGGAAAAAACAAAAGGAGTAATTATGACAAGTTCAAGAATAGTTGCTACTACTTCCGCATGGAAAAGATAGAGATGAGGTGAGAACATGATTGTGCGTGGTGAGTATATATATATATATAGGATGGTGTAGATGGGGACAAAAATGTTGTCCTTACCCTAAACCTAAAGATAAAGAGAGAAAAGACCTTGTTTTCATTCAATTCTCCCTTTCAGGTTTGATTGATGTTGGAGCTTAAGTTTATTACGAAAAATGTATGCTTTCATTATAACAAAAAAATTTATCTTTCTAATTTTTAGATGTATTTTAACATATGTGTGTGTATGAAATTAAAAATAATTTTCATTCAAGTTATACTCTTTTTAACCTTTTTTCATATTACATTTTTTCTTATCATTATTTTTTTTTACCGAAAAATTATACAAATGCAATACAAGTGATGAATGTTGTAGATAATCTATATATAAGTTAAAAGAAAATAATGCATGAACACTTATGTCCTACTAAACGCTTACAAAGAGGTAGAAGAAGAAGAATGTGTAAAGATAAGAAATCATTTTAAATTAACGTAATGAAATCAACTTCATGAAGAACACATCACTCCTCATATAGGCATGTATATACTTTAAAAGAGAGAAGAGAGGGAAAATAAATACAATAATTGTGGTATGAAAGAAGTTTAAAATACGTGTACAAATTGAGGAGGAAAAAAGGTAGAAATACTAAAAGATATATTAAAGAAACTAAAGAGGGTGTATATTAATTAGACAAAGACAAAAAAAAAAAAAAAATAAGAAATGTCTATCTTAATTATCCTCTATAGAGAAAAAAAAATAAGGAAAATGAAGATGGAAGAGGCATCTCAACCTCTCAATTCAGAAGTCTAAAGGTTCCACGAAAGAATAGGGGCCCCTACCTCAACATGTGCCCTTGTCTTGTCCTCAAGTAGAAAAACATTTAAATCAAAATCTTCCAACTTGGTTCTCATATATCACATTCACAATACGACAATATTAATCAAAATACCCCAATTTAGGTCGTTTGCATTGTGACCAAATTGCCCTTCTCCAGAAAAAAAAAATAGTTTGTTCATATAGAGAGAGGAGGGTAATATAATTTTACATAAAAATATAATTTTTATTGGTCTAGTTACTACATTATAATGATATATTACTTTAATTGTATGTGTTGAACTCTATCAAAGTTTGACTATGGCTTTTTTTATATATATTTTAACATTAATGTCTGTGTATTACATTGTAGTTTTAATATATATATATATATATATATATATATATATATATATATTCAAAGTACCAAATAATTTTAAATTAGTTAATAGGATATTTTTATAAATGATTTATGTAAAATGTTTTAAAATAAAAAAATGAGATAATATTATTCAATAAAAAACTATTAAATATAGTAAAACTATATGACTTAACACTGTAAATTAATATATCCTTGTGTGAAAAAAATATTATTTTGAATGTTAAAAATAATTTAAACCGAATATTATATATATAAAATTTAAAACAAAATTACCAAATTATATATAATTAAGACAAATGTCTCTGAATTTGGAAAAATATAATAGTTAAAGTATCCTAATATTATCTAAATAGACATATATTTTAAAATTTTTATGACTAATTATGTAAAAGTATTTGTATTTCTTATATTAAAAGTTATTTTTATTTTAAAATGTATTATATATTAAAATAAATAATTAAATATATTTTTATGTCCTATAAAATTAATGTTTTGATTTTAATCTCTGTAAAAAATTATATTTTATTGTCAAAAATTGTAAATTATTGATCCTAGTCTTTATAAAATAAATAAACCTTGTTTTTTGTCTCTACAATTAAATTTAATATTTTTAAAAGATGAAATCATTAATTATTTTGAGTTCCTTAATTTGAAGGTATGAAAAGTACTTATTATAAGGATTAAAAAACACTTAATCTTTCGCTAAACATGAGTTATAAACGAATATCAATATATGGAAGAAATTAGAATCAATATTTTAATTTTTTTGAAAAATGAAAAATTAGTAAAATATATTAAAACTAAAGTCATTAATTTTACATTAGCTATTTTAGAATTATTATGCTACTTTAAAAGGAAAAATATTATATTGTTTGACACAATCATTTATGCGAGAAAACTCACTCCAAATTACAAAGTAAAGAATTTTAATCGCTGGTAAAAAATTCATAAATACGATGTTTTATTTGTTTTATTTTTTTCATAATAGATGATGAATTAGAAGGAATTGACTGACGCATGACAAGTCAGAGAAATACATATAAAAGCTTTTAAAGGGAAGAAGTCAATAATACCACATAATTGAGCATCATAAACAATTTGAAAATATTCAAATATCATGTGAATAAAAACTTCTATTGTTCACAGTTATTTTTTGATTATTTTAATAAATTATTATTGTATATCAAATTTTATCATTAAAAGGGTGTATATAATATATCATTAAATTAAAAAGGAGATATATATAATCCATAATTAACTTCAAAACGATATAAAAATCTTAAATATACCGAAATATTTATATTTAAAAAAGAAAATACAAATTAAAAATTAGTCCTCAATTTTTTTTAAAGTAATAATAAATACATAAAGTTGAAAATGAGTGGGTGGGATTATTCAGTAGTGTGTATAAGAATGATTATTTTGAGGAAAAAGGAGTGAAGTATTTTGGTATTTTGTGGTTGGAGTAGAGTTTTACTTGTCCCCACATCGTTTCTTCCATCAAATATCATCAATTTTGTGCCCTGTCTCCATCTTATAACCACACCAACATCTTCTTTTTACAATATTTATCACTTATATCCTAACAAACATTATAATAAAACCATGATTGTTTCTTCATTATCCCGATAATGTCTTTACGATGAGTTTTAAATTTTTAGTTTCTGAAGATTTTATCTTTAAAAAACATCTGAGAGAAGAAGATGTATTACATGAAATTTTTACGTCATAACAAAAATAGTTTAAATAAAATGTTGAGACATTTATATATAAAGAAAGAAAATAAATTGTCTTAAAAAAAATCTTAACTTGAAAGCGTCTGGGTTTTTTATTTTTTATTTTTTTTTTAATTTGTGTGGTTTTGAGGGGAATGAGATTATATGACGTCATTGAACTGAAAAATGAAAAAGACAGTGATGGGCCTGTTGTTGTTGTAATTGGTGATGACATGACATGCATTCACGGGACATGGGCTCGTGTGAGTGTTCATAACATCACACATAACATACATCCATTCATTATAATAATTTAATTTTATCATAATACTCTCTCTCTACTTGCACATGCACTTCACGTGGCTCAAACATGCTGAGGTCGGGACCTTTGGGTCGCCACTGAACCCACACCCTCTTTTTTTTTTTTTTTTTTTTTTTTTTTAAACAAAATACTCTTCTTTTATTTATTTTTCATAATAAACATAAATTTTGCTCTCTAGAAATATAAATTAAAACTCAGAGTATAAAATTAAATTACATTTTTCTTCAATTTAATATTAATGTCATAATATTAATATATATGTGTTTCCGGTGGAATTTCGATCGATTTCGATTCTAAGGGTGTTTTGGTCCTAATCAAAATTCTACCACGTAAGTTCTTTTTACTTAGGCTAGCAATTTGATTTTCAATCGAAAACGCGTATGAGAATTGAAAACTACAGGATATCGAAAATGTGGTTTTTGGTATTTTATGTCTAAAATGCTTGACTCAAACAAAACGAGTAAAGTATCGAATCGAGCAAAGAGAATATTAAATTGCAAGAAAGTGCGAAAACCCCGAATTTGCAAGAAATTAAGTTTGCGAGATAAATAAAGGGCAGGAAATCGAAATGTGCGGGAAATGTAAATTGCTAAAACCCATTAAAATTGCACAGAAAGTAAATAACAGGAAATCGAAATGTGCGGAAAATGTAAATTGCTAAAACCCATTAAAATTGCACGAGAAAGTAAATAACAGGAAATCGAAATGTGCGGAAAATGTAAATTGCTAAAACCCATTAAGATTGCATAATCGGTAAATAATAGGAAATCGAAATGACATTGAATGTAATCTACAAGAATATGAAATTCGTTGAATTGAGATGGCTCGAAAGTAAATTACCAAGGAAAATATAGAAAGCGATAAATGTACTCGGTGAGCAAGGAAATCCAGATTGCCGAAACTTCATGGTGTTCGTCGTTTCTCCGGTAGACTTTTCACTACTCGATTACGTTCTCTGCCAATTTCCCCCGTTCCTTCCTTCTTTGCTCTATTTATAGGGCATCTTTCAAGCCTTCCAAGAGCGAGTTAACACGACTGTTACCACGTTCTACGTGCGTATGGCAGTTTTTCTTCTATTGTTTCCCCACGTTCCCATGATTTTTTGGCTCTTCCATAACTTAGAAACTCGCTTTCCATGCGTGCGTTTTGACTATTTTCCTTCAAGGTTTAACCGAGGTTATGATATCTACGAAAACGAGCCTTCCCTTTGATTTAATCGAGAACTTTGCATCCTTGGTATCGATTTATTTTAACCTTAACTCCATGTTAAGCTTTCGACTATTACACCTTCTCTTCCGATTTTACCTTTCGATTTTATGTGTCACGTTCTTTATAATCGGACATCGGGAAAGTTCCCTTTCGATTCATTTCTCGATCGGGCTTCTCGATTCCACACTAACAAAATGCCCCCTTGGAAGAATATGAATAGTTTATTTATATTCTTTCAACATTTCCCGCCTAAGTGTTCGGAGGCCCATAGAACTTTAGGGTTTAGGGTTTACGGGGTTCTAGGGTTAAAAGGATTTTAGGTTTCCCTTTCGTTTTACGTCGCTATCATATCGATCTGTTGCTTTTACAGGTACAT